TGCTGAAAGACGGGTTTTTCCTAAAGCTTAAACCTTTAAAAGCTTCAACCTCTATAAACATTCAACAAGAAGAGAATCCTGAGATCGAATTGAAATTTCTGGTCCTGGGCACCGTTCTTATACAGCCGAGCTGTTAAAGCAACTCTTTGGGTCTCTCGGTACAAGCTTTCGATCAAAGTTCCGACCTTGATGAAAACCCTTGTCTCTCCTCTATGTTCTTGCGAAATGGGTGCCGAGGAATCCGGTTGCTCACTACACAATCTTGGAGCAAGACAACATGGGATCCCGTTCTGTCACTGCAACTCAACAACCCATCTCTTGTTTTGCTGGAGAAATGCAGTTCGAGGAGCCAATTCAAGGAGATTTTGGCGCAGATCATGCGTGTCAATCTCATACGCGACACATTCCCCATGAGCAGGCTCATCTTGTTCTCCGCAATCACCTTTCCGGAGAATATCGACATGGCAAGGCTCCTGTTTCATCACTTCACTCCAAACCCCAATGTTTTCGTCTACAACTCCATGATTTCTTCGGTTTCGATCTCAAAGAACGAACGCTTTGATTTGTATAGTTCTATGCTTGGGAATCATGTTTGGCCCGACAGGCAAACGTTCCTGTACCTCATGAAAGCGTTGAAGTGTTTGTCGGAAGTGAAGCAAATCCATTGCCATGTAATTGTCACTGGGTGGTTGTATTTTTGCAATTATCTGCGGAATTCTCTGGTGAAACTGTACATGGAGTTGGGCGGTTTGGGTTCGGCGAATAAGATGTTCGTGGAAATGCGTGAACCAGACACAGCTTCGTATAATATCATGATTGTCGGTTATGCCAAGAAGGGCTTTGGTTTAGAGGCACTGGAACTGTATTATAAGATGATTGGCAATGGCCTCGAGCCTGACGACTACACCATGCTAAGTCTTCTTGTCTGTTGTGGGCAGTTGGGAGATGTTCGGCTGGGAAAATCTGTTCATGGATGGATCGAGAGGAGGAGATCCTCGGCTAATTTGATTCTGAGCAATGCCCTTTTGGACATGTACTTGAAATGTGAAGAATCTGGTCTTGCAAGAAGAGTTTTTGATAAGATGTCTAAGAAGGAAACCGTTTCTTGGAACACCATGGTTGCAGGGTTTACCAAGTTGGGGAACATGGAAGCTGCTATGGCTATTTTCAGACAAATGCCCCAAAGGGATCTCGTTACGTGGAATTCTTTGATTTCTGGTTACTCGCAGAAGGATGGCCATCAAATGACCATGAGAGAATTGTTCCATGAAATGGTTGTAGCCGAGAATGTCATTCCAGATCATGTTACAATGGTGAGTCTGATCTCTGGAGCTGCAGGGGCCGGAGAATTGTACCAAGGAAGATGGATACATGGCCTGGTGGTACGGATGGAATTGAAAGTAGATGCCTTTCTGGGTTCAGCTCTGATAGACATGTACTACAAATGCGGAAGCATCGATTGGGCTTTCACGGTTTTCAATACGGTTTCTGAAAAAGACGTTACCTTGTGGACAACAATGATTACCGGATTCGCCTTCCATGGAAACAGCCAACAAGCTCTGCAACTATTCCAAGAAATGCAGGAAGATGGCATAATGCCAAACAAAGTCACGTGTCTCTCTATCCTTACAGCCTGCACTCACAGAGGACTCGTAGAGCAAGGCCTACTCATTTTCAACACCATGAAGGAGAAATTCGGCATTGATCCTGAAATCGAGCATTATGGGAGCTTGGTGGATCTTTTATGCAGGGCAGGGAGATTACAAGAAGCTAAAGACATCCTTCAAAAGGAGATGCCTAGGAGACCGAGTCAGTCAATATGGGGATCAATTCTAAGCGCTTGCAGGGAAAAAGGAGACATCGAAACTGCAGAGATGGCTTTAACAGAGTTACTGAAGTTAGAACCCGAAAGAGAAGGTGGGTATGTTCTGTTGTCCAACATATACGCAGCTGTTGGGAGATGGAGACATTCTGATAAAGTCAGAGAAGTGATGGAGAACAGTGGAGTGAAGAAGACTGCAGGATACAGTAGTATAGTTGGTGAAGGCGGGGTTCATCATAGCTTTGTGGCTGCTGAGAAGCAGAATCATCCCAGATGGTTGGAAGTCAAGGGAATGATTCAGCTTCTGCACTATGAAATGAAGTTAGAATTTGATCTCTCTCTGCAATGGAGATTGCTTAGCCATTCAAGCAAAAATGATTCCTAAAAAGTTTGTTTTTTAGGGTAAAGGGTTTTTCTGTAGTGTCTGAAAAGTTCATCTGAAACATAACCATCTTCTCGCAAACCACTAAAATTTTCCCGGAATCATGCCCATAATATATCTCTTTTACTTGGAAACTCTTCTCAGGATCTTCAAATTTTCTAGGCCAGCTAGAACAGAATTTTCCCACCGTATTTTCTTTTGGAGTGGCCTACATAACCTAAGCTTCTTATGACAACATTAAATTAGTAACCATTTACGAGGACAAGTAACAAAACAGGATCTGCACTGCATCAGAATTCGGACACAAGAGGAGATGAACAATGAAACAGTCTCATGAGTAAGAGAACGGCGAAAACCTTTTTCTCATTCAGAAGGAAAAACCAAAGAATGTTATCCTACTAAAAAAAAAATCTGGACTAGAGATCCTGAAAACTACAGATTAGAGTTACAATCAAAACTGAAATAAATTACTGATGAACAACCAGTTTCAGTATATGTACTTTGGAGAAAAGCTTAAAGCAGAACTCCCTGACCTGCATATTTAGGTCAAGACTTGGAAGATTTGGAGAAGAATAAGCTCTGTAGCAGCAAACACTGTTCCGGGTTCAGTTTTGTCACAGTATCTTCCTCACTAATCTCTGCAATATCAACCCTCGGGTCGTTGCAAAGACTGTAATACACCAGGAAATCTCTGCATATCAACCCTCCTCTAATAAGCTCGAGGAACCGATGTTAGCTAGGGTTTCCTGATGAGTTTCCGTCTCTCAAACCTTGGAGGCACAGCTGCAAAGCTCTATGGACGCTGTCTGCAACCATTCTCAGTTTCCCCTGCGCCATGTCCCCTGCAGAAGAACCGTTAACTTCGACGGTGCGTGCCACTCTTTGCCTACATTTCTCCCAGTCCTCGACCCGTTGCCAACATGCCCGACCTCCATGGCTTCCTTCCATCCCAAGAAATGTCACGCTGGGATTTTCACCAAACAAATACCTTAACCTGACTGAGACACAGTAAGGCAACCATGCGGCTCCTCCAGCAGCGTTTATATGAGGTATATGAGCCGGGTCAAGAACAACAGTCAATGCAAAGTCAACTGAATTACGAGGCCGATCATAATGGATATTGCTCTTAGTTGCGGAACCACCATTGTTGTCTATGTCCATACCAGAATGATTCTCAAGACATAGTTCGATGCGTGGTCTCTGTCCAGGAGCGATATCTCCAGCTTGTGTTTGGGACAAACCCTTCTTCCATGCAATCAGTCTCAGAAACTCCCTCAAGACCGGAATGGGTAACGTGAGGAGGGTTATGAAAGAGGCAACCCTCGAAGCATCATAAGGCTCTGATGCAACACGGCGGCTAAAGTAATCGCATATTTCTCCGATCTCAGATTGGGTTAACTCCTCTTGAGCAGTCGAAGCATTTTGCTGCTGCTGCTGCTGCTGCTGGTGATGGAAACGCTTCACACTGAGGACTTGAAGAAGAAGCTGAACTCTATGGACACTCACTGCAAAGACATAGCCACTACAGAAAACAACACCACAAACAAAAGGAAAATAGATTAAAAATTATAAACTAAGTCACATTGTCTCTGAACACACACAAACACAAACGCTAGTTCCCAGTAGCTTACCCGACAAAGAAGCGCAGCGCAGGTTGTTCTTGATCCAAATTCAAGAGAGCACCTTCATTCTCCTTCAAAATTGAACCTAAGATCTCTCTCAAGAGGTCCGGTAACTGGGCAAATAACCAAAGCACTCCAAGATATTTGAGGATACCCCTTAAAACCTTTTTAAGAGCCACAAGAGGAACCCACCCCCCTCCATAACCACCATCATCTCCGAGACCGATAATTGCCGTATTTAGTTCACCTCTTACATGTGCCGGCACTGCGTTACCGGGAGATCTCCGCACAGGCAATCCCAAGCCAATTACGTTCAATGCAGAAGATGGGGAAGCAACAACACCAACACGGTTAAAAGCAGCTGTCTGGTGAGCTGCCCTTGACATGGCAGTAGTGGCTGGGAGATTTGCTCTGTTCCCACTAGCTGTTGCTAACTGCGTAGCTGAACTTGGGTTTGCACCATTTGCATTTGCATTTGCTGCTCCAGAAGCCTGTTGGTTACCACTCAAATTTGGTTCTAATCCATTTAATTCTTGAGCGACATGCTCCATGATGAAAGGTCTGAATTGGGGACATGGCAAGGAACCCCCAATAGAAGCACCGCCCTTTGGTGGTGTTGCTGGTTGCAGCCAGACCTGATCTCCAGCAAAACACCTCATGTCCACTGCAAATCGTTTTCGGTATATGATCCTCACCCAGTACGGTCCACGAAGTACTACGGAGACATCAATGGGCAAGAGAGAGCTTGGAACGATTCCAGGTCCACTTTGCCCTACAGATGTTAACATGGCAGCACCATGAAGGCTAGAACTTCCCCCGAGAGGGCCTGAACCAGGAGCAATAGCATTTGCTGAAGTCGATGAAGTTGTTGGCCCCACATTAGGGGAAGCGGAACTTGCGGTGGAACCCCCTTGAGTTTGTTGCATCTGATTCGACTGTCGTGAAATGGAAGGAATGGCTGCAGTCACAACTGGAGCTGCCCCTGAGGCAGGCCCAGCCCGAGCAGGGCGAGTGGCAGCTGCTAGCGCATGCAACGGCCCAGCGGTAAGTCGAATGCAGTCAAGAAGAGATGCAACTTCTGTTCCATTTATGAAATCCTCCAAGAACTGCACAAAACAGACAAAGGAAAGAAAAAAACAGGGTTACTGTCCCAGGCTTATCCAGAGAGAACGCTTTGAGAGTTTAAGCCAGAGATAGAAAAGGAAGAAGAGCATCAGCTTTGTAACAAAATTCACGAACAAGAAAAGGTTTCTAGATAAGACATCAAGCTGAAGATAAAGTTTAGAAAATAAACTTTACTACCTTTGTATGGGGCCACAGTTGATCGGGAGAAACATGCATAGTGCATCCATCTTTACCCGAGTCCCACTCAACAACAAAACGAGCTAAGAGGCCTGACCCAAAACTAAACCACAAACTTGTTAATCCCACTGCTTCAATCTTGAAAGCCCTCCTCATCTGCTCAGATAATCTCTCGGCTGGCTCAGTAGAGCCTTTTCCTACAGATGGTCCCTTACTGAACCCTTCTGTTTTGTCATCTGGCCTTATGCCAAGCAATTTACGCATGCCAAGGGCAAACATTCTAGCATTTGAAAGCCGCTGGATGTCAGCCACAAGCTTCTTAATACTGTCGGCTTCCACAGATTGATAACTCAGAACAACACCTTCGGGATCATAACTGATATGAAAATCCACATAAGAGGAGTTTTCTATGCGAACTCCGGATCCCCATGGTGTGTTTTTACTTCCCTTCTGAAGTTCCCAAAGATCCCTGAAGTGTTGGTCATTTATTTTCACATCCCAACGCATGCTTCCTGGCCCACCGAGCTGCAAGCATATTTGTTGCCATGAATCACTTTGAGCAAATGGTAGACGGAACCATATATTCGATGATGCATTTCTCAGATCCATTTCCTCGACATATTGGATATCCATTGCTTCCATCTGGCTAGTTAGTTTGGCATGCATTATGGACAATGAAGAATGCCTGACCACGTGGAGAAGGGTATAGACAAAAATGCTGGAGGGTGCATTTCCCTTGTTCGCTTCAGCTATGAGACTCCAATAACTGCATCCAGAGATTTTTGTGGTTGTTGCAGTAGATGAAAATTTCTGCAGCGAAACGGACAAGCTCTGTTCCAATTCAGAGGTTTTTCTTCTCTTGTTGGCAGGACCAGAAACAGCTTCCACTCCTTGAAGAGACGGGATCAAGCTTAGCAAATTGGCTGATGCTGCACCTTTCCGTGACTTCTGATCTTTTCTCAATAAATGATCATCTGATGTTTGTGCTGCAAACATTCACAGGTGATTATGGCAAGTAAAATAAGAACAGGAACACAGTTTCAATGAGGTTCTATGAAGGTTGAAAAAGCACATGTTCTTACATACGAGAGGCGATGAGAGCAGTGAACCTGATTCAGTGATCCTCGAAGGTCCCGAGACCAGTTTGCCACCTGAGGCAGAGACTCGGGCACCAGTGGACATAGGTGGAGACAATAGTCTAGATGTGCAACCCTCAATCAATTTTGTTTGGTCTCCTTCCTCTGTGCAACCCTCCACCAATTTAGGAAATCTAAGGGAAGCTAAATCCTGGTCAGAGGTAGAAATAACAAGCTTCTTCATAACAGGAGCCTTCCCAGGGGAAGCTGATAGGGAATTAAAAGAACCAGATTGCACAGGATCCTGCAGGTCATACAAGGACCCATTACTATAGCTAGTCACCAAAGGCACTACCCCAGTGCTGTTAATAGAGGGGAGGTTCTTGGGGAGTGGACCATGCTGATCATGTAAAGAATGTACAGATGCCCATTTTTCAAGTCCAAAAACTTCATCTATGATACTAGAGAAATTCAATGGACTTCCACTCATTTCCGGCAAACCCCCGACACCTAATCCAAGGGGATCATGTCCAGAAGTTTTATTTATGCCCTTGACGCCTGGAAATGAAGAAAGAAATCTAGCCACATCAGGTGTGATTGAGTTAAGTTCATCTTCAAGAATCCACATCTGCCCCACATCAATTTTCTTTTCCCGCAAAATGTTGGTCAGATCATTGAAAGACTGAGGTTTTTCACAAGTATCCATCTGGGTTTCCACCAATTTGAAATCTGGTGTAAAATCTTTATCCAGCTCCATAAGCAAGAGATGAGAACTTCCACAATCAGGGAATCCCAATATCAAGACGCTTGAACCATCCACGAGGGTCTTAGGAACTTTGCTTGCAGCAAAATCCTGTCCATAGACCTGCAAGTGTCAAATTGAACACAATTCACTCTCCAAAGACTCAACAGAACTCCACACACAGACTTGAAAGAGGCAAAGACTATTACCTCAAGACCCAAAAACTTGCCAACAGCAGCAAAAAGATGCAAAATGCTTTTGCTTCTCAAGTTGATAAAGGCTTCCACTGCAGATATACTCCCTTGATTTAAAGCAGCTTCATATTCCTCCAAAATGGAGGCAGTCAAGATACTCTTGGATGACTGAAGAAGAAATCGACCAGTCCTGCAATTATTAACAAAACTCAGAGAAAAACCTTGAATTGAATCCAACGATAAAAACTGCAGGTGCTACTCAAATAAATTCACCAACATTTCGTCTCCATCTCTTAGAGAAACAAGTGGTGAAAAAAGCTAGAAGTGAAACCTAAAAGATAGAAACATACCAAAAGATGACAAATTACAAACGAGAATAGTCACCAGCGATTTCCAGATCTTGTGAAGACAAAAACACATGTGGAATTCAAAAGAAGGACACAACTAGGAAAGGGTATGAAGACAGTGGGATTACCACAAAATCCATAGTTAAATGTCCTTAAATATGACCGAAGATATACCTTATATTTACCCCAAGCGTAAAAAACGATGAACCATAGGCACGGACACGCAGGACTTCTGGCTCCATTCCTTCCTTCGTGTCTACCTTCTTGACTCCCTAAAAGAAAGGGGGAAATACTAAAATAGCTACGAGAAGAGGCAACATAATCTCAGCCGTAAACTTCTTATGTATGCCTAGTTTCTTGTCACCTAACTGAAATTAGAGGGCAACTAGCTTGAAAAAAAAAATAAAAAAGACGTGGATCCACGACTAAGGATCACATCAAAACTAGGGCTTTCCACCGTTTCCCCTCGTGGGCTCTCCTCTCCATCCGAGCGGATTAGGAATGCAAATCCTACTACTGAATTTAGCTTTGGCATAACATATTTGATGTCCGGATTCTAATGAAAGGTCCATCAGTTAACTTGCTAGAGGCAACATTCAATTCTAGTTATGAAATATATGTTATCCAAAGAAGAAACAAGGCAATAATCATATAGATGATGGAAGCTTACCATACAACCAACCATGTCAGGTAAAAGTACAACTCAAGCAACAAAACAACAGCAATAAAATGGGACCAACCTTTTCAGTCTCAACACCAGGCATATCCAGGAGGGATTGAAGAATGACATCACTGGAAACACGAGAGATTCGAACATTATTCTGAAGCTCTTTCTGAATTTGAAGAAGACGAGTATATCTGTTACAACATATAGCTTTACGCAGAAGCTTTTCCAAATCAATACAGCTCTGATCTAGTGAAAACTCAGCCTCCTTGCCAGTTAATGGGTCGATTACAAATGAGCTATGAAGACACTTAATCTGGAGATCTGATCCTGGTTCAATTTTGATGAATGAACCAGCGTTTTTATCAGAATCCAACCAGTACATAAGTTTCACTCCCGGGGTTCGAAGACCAACAGAATCGACCTCTCCTTCTTGATTCAATTGTGTGATGCCAGCGTCAGAAATTAACTCAAAGCGAATTGCATCTTTCCATCTTCCCTGCCGAAGAGCTTGGACCTGCCTTATGACAGTGTCCATGACAATTGCAACACAAAGTTCATGGAGTACTGAATACAATATTGTAAATGGGTTTTCTGCCACTGACATTCTACGCTCTAAATAATCTCCAAGGGCATGCCGCCTCGCCACTTCGAGATTAATGGGTCCGCTTCTTTCACCAACAAGCAAATCTAGATGCAATATCCTCCACATTGACAAGTGACCCCGGTAACCAAGAGTAACAAGAACCTTAAACTCCCCATCGAGACATAGCGTAGCTGTACCTTTGGAAACTTTCACCTCCGTTATTTCATTAGGAAGTGTAATTTCAAGTAATTTGGAACGAACAAGTGCGTCCAACTTTTCTAGAGCTGGTTTCTGCTGATGCTCATCCAATGAGCTCTGCATGCCAACATCTTCTATACATTTTGGCAATCTCTGATAAGATCCTGTTAGTAAAACCTCGGCAGCAGATGAAATATCATATACAGGAGCACGGGCTTGTTGGAGGCCTTCATGCATAAAAAACAGTGAATCTGCTGCTTGTGTGAAGCAAATATCATGAGCTGATAATGTGCTCCCAAGCTCCTGGCAATATTTTATCAGCGGAACCTGTATCCAGGAGGTCAAGTGAAATATGAATCGGCGGCTGACTAAATGTTTTGATTGCTAACTTATAACTAACAAGCAGGACTCGGCAAAATCAAGATCGGACTACAGGAATAAGTAAAGATGATAACATAATTTATTATTTAATATGGAACTTAAGGCCCAAGACGCAAGCTTAATTCAGCAAAAACTCCGAACATGTTTTATGAAAGTATAGCTTGACCAGTCCATGGATATGTTCATGGAGAAATTGAATCTAACAATTCAAACTATGTTTGTGGCAGAATTCTAGGAAGGGCTTTGAACTTTTTCCACAATCCCAAAATAATAAACATGACACTTCTTGTATCCACATTGGTTCAGAAAAACATATAAAGCTAGCTTTTCTATCCGTTCAATTTGCTCTAAGAAGCAAGAAAGACGAGAAAAAGTGGCATTTGTTTTAAGCAAAACCAAGACTCAAATAAGGACTAAGTGCCCAAAGAAAATCACTTCAAGCTGCTAATGTCATAAATCCCAATAGAGAAGTCTAACTTTGCAAAAAGATGCATCAGCTTCTGATGACCATATAAGCTTCCGACAAATAGCGTAACCCTAAAACAACAAAAACCCATCAAGCTCACTCATGAAAACTTCCCAAGTTCACCACTTTTCTTCCAGATAAAGGAGACGCCGTCTTAAACCCAACCCGTAGCAGATAGCATCATAGCACAATCTCCATTACGTAGAAAACCAACTAAAAGCCGATAAATCTTAAAACGTGCAATCAAACCCCTAATTTTCGCCATCTGATTTGGTTCCAAGAAAAGCCTAGAATTTTCTCACCTACCCAAAAAAAAGACAAGTAGTAGAACGAAGCTACACAGTGGAAAAGACGAACCTGCTTGCACCACTTGGCGAGCACATTGAGCCGGAGCATCCGCTGCTGGGTCTTGACGATGTATTTGAGGAGGCTAATCTTCTTGTCCGTATCCGACAGCTCCGTCGACTTGGACTTCTCCACTAGTTCCTTGAGCGACAAGTACGATTCCTCTGCGGCTCGACTGACCAGAGAGGAGAACTCCACCGTCTGTTGCCCTAATTCCGCCATAGCGGACGAAGAACAGAATCACCAGCACCGATTCAGAATCTCCTGTGGATCCACGACTAAGGATCACATCAAAACTAGGGCTTTCCACCGTTTCCCCTCGTGGGCTCTCCTCTCCATCCGAGCGGATTTGATTGCGATTTGCGAGGGACGAGGGCTGGGAAGCAAGACGGTGGAAGAAAACGTAAACGTTGAACGCGACCCCAAATAAAATAAATAAGTAAATAAAATCCACCAAATATGCTGAGATGTTAAAGTGGGTCCCACTTGTCCACGTAATGGCTATTGACAGCCTATTGTGAAGTTTTGGGATCATCAATTCAATTGTGTCGTGTGTAAATGTAATTGAAAGGAATGTATATTTATTTTAACGTACATATGGGATTTATTCTAATTTGCTGATTTATTAATACGATTATGTAAAAGATTCCTATGCACTCCATTTTCATTTATAGATAATTTGATCCATCTAACTTGTAATTTTTGTTTATTTTATTCTGTGTCAAACATTGATAATAAAATAGAGAATAAACAGAAAATATTAAATTTGGGATTTCATCGCTCAAACTCAATATCGTTTATTAATTGCAAACGCAGTTTAAATGATATTAGATATTAAGTATCTTTTAAAATGAGATAAAAATGGGTTCAAACTCTATGAATACAAAAGTAACATATAACTAAAATACAAAAAAATATGTAAGTTATACAATTTTTTTTATATTTTTTACTAAAATTTTAAATATACTAAAAAATATATAATCAATAATCAATATATATATATGATATTGGATGAATGAAAATATCTCGAGATACATATACTTATATATGTGTATATACACACATAATTAAACTTTAATTTGATATATGAATCAAATCGGCCTAATTCGATAGATAAACGGGTTTCAAATTTATAAATTTAAACTCATAAATTTATCAATAGGATCGAATCGAGTAACGAACCACAAGTTTTTTTATACCTCCAAGAGAAATAGTTATCAATCTAATTAAATATAACTAACTATTGATTTATTAATTATTTATTTAATAACAATATTTTTTAAATAAATATAAAAATTAATATTTTTTATCTAATAACCATATTTTCTTAAATAAATAAACAATGAAAAGAATATTTATTAACAATTAGAATATACCTTCAAATATTTGTATTTTACAAAAGCTGTCATATTATCAACCACCGTAAAAATAATGATCAAACCATCAAATAAAACCAAAAATAGTAAGTAAAAAAATAATAAACCAAAATTAGGATGAGAATTCTAATTTACAAATAGACAAAGCGTTTGAATCGATGTAGCACTTAAAACTAATTAGTAACTGTATTTTTTATATCATCATAGCATCACTATAAATAACAAGAATCATGAACCAAAATCTTCATCCTAAATCCAAAAAAAAAACTCTTCACCATACAGAAAATCTATTTCAAATTTTCGTCAAATTCGTTATGGCGAATTTAAGAAAAATCATCGGGATTTTCTATATAACATTATTGGCGATATTTGGGTTTGAGAACAAACATGTTGTTGAAGCAACGAAGTTCATCGGAGTTCCTAGTCTCGGATATGGTCGAATCCCAGCTTGTAATCATAAGAATCAAAGGTTATGTCCTAAACCGACGAACCCATATAAGAGAGGATGTACTATTGGCCAAAGATGCCATCGTAAACCACCAACTATGGAAATTTGATCAAATTTGTACTGATCCAATTTATGATACCATATATTATGTGATACGATTCATTTAAATGTTAAATGTACTAAATAAAACGATTCATGATGAAATGTAATAAATGATGTAATAAAAATTAATAAATTCTTTTTTTTATGGTTATTGTATTATATACGTCAAATATGAGAATTTATCTCGTGTGTGTATTAGTTATTTGTGAATAGTTTGTTCTTGAAAGAATGTATATAAGTAAATTAAGTAAGTGATACATGTAATCTCTATAGAGATAAGAGATCATTTGTTACTAGAATATTTAATTTTTTTATCAAACTGTTAAGAGAAAAACTAAAAGTTTATTAATGTTTTTCTTAGTTTTTTTAGTTAATGAGTCTAGATTAATATATTATAGTTACATTTAATTATATAAATTAATTTATATAAAATTCATATTTTAAATTTATATAATATTTTGATCAAATTGTTTTGAAAAAAATAAAAAGTTAACAAAAATTTTAAAAAAATGTTTTTAAATTTAAAATAAAATGACTTATATTAATAATATTGAACCATGTATAACATTATTAAAATTAATGTTAACTATTTAATATAATTTAAACAAAAGTAATAAATTTTAATTTATGTATATTTTAAATTAATTGAATTAATAAATTGTTATCTAATTATCTTTTTTAGTGTTTTTCTATCAATTATAATGAAACTTTATTATCATATTTTTCAAGAACAATATGAGAAATCAATTCAAATGAGATTTCAAAATAAATAAGATTTTGTGTAAATATTATTTTGTAATCAAAAGAAATTAGTTGAATACATTTATTATATCACATTTTCACTAGTTGAGTTCTTCAATGAGTTACTCCTAACTATATAGAACAATTTTTTTTATCTCTTTAGAGATGGTTTTAGTTAACTAAAAAGATGACAAATTAATCTATATAATGTAATCAATATCAACATTGTTACAATCTCAAATTTATTTGGAATCAATCGTATAAATTTTTTTGTTTTCTTTCATTTTGGATTTAGGAATCAATGTAATATATGAAATAAAAATTTTGTAATATAACCTCTATATAAGGTTTTTTCAAAAAATTTAAAATAATGTAAAAATGAATTTGATTTTTATGTTCAAGTTTTTACTATATATAAATGTGTGTGTATATATATATTGAATTTTTATTTTATAAATATATGATTTCTCAAAAGAAAAACATTCATCAAAATTTCTCAATTTAATTACATATAAATAACAGTTAGTTAATTATTTATTTATTTAATAATATTTTTTTAATAAATATAAAAGAAAAGAATATTAATTAACAGGTAGAATATACATTCGAATATTTGTATTTTATAAAACTGTCAGTCTATTAATTACCTTAAAAATAATAATCGAACTATCAAATAAAACAAAAAATAATAAGTAAAATAATAATAAACCAAAATTTGGATGAAAATTCTAATTTACAAATAGACGTTTGAATTGAGGTAGCACTTAAAACTGCTTGGTAACTATATTTTTGTACCATCATAGTATCACTATAAATAACAAGAATCATATGCCAAAAATCTAGGGGTGGCCATTTCGGGTTTCGGTTCGGTTTACTGTTCGGTTATTTCGGGTTCGGTTATTTCGGTTATGAAAAAATCATACCCAAATGGTTATATAGATTTAATCAGTTCGGTTCAGTTCAGTTTCGATTCGGTTCGGTTCGGTTTTTGCATAATAAAATTATAACCAAACGGTTATATTTTTCGGTTTATTCAGTTCGGTTTTAGATCGGTTCGGTTCGGTTATGATATATTTTGGAAAAAAAAAATATTAATCCTACATAAACTTCAAAATATCTATTCAAATAATTAATGCACAAAATGATTAATCCCGTAATAAAATTATAAAAAATCTAAAAACTTCAATAATTAGGATAAAAGTTAAAAATATAACATTTTTATTGTTTATTTGGTGAAATATATAAGGTTAAAAGTGGAGTATAAAAAAATAATACTAATAATAATGAGGGTAAAAATTTAAATATTAAAAAAACTCAATAACCGTTCGATTAACCTCGGTTATTCGGTTATTAAATAATGAAGGTAAAAGTTAAAACATTAAAAAAATCTAATAACTGTTCGGTTAACTGTTCGGTTAACCGTAGTTATTCGGTTATTAACCGAACCGAACCGAATACGAACGGTTATTTAACTTCCTCAACCGCTTGGTTATTAAGTAAATAACCGCTCCGCTCTTATTCGGTTCGGTTCGGTTCGGTTATTCAGTTAATAACCGAAATGGCCACCCCTACAAAAATCTTCATCCGAAATCTAAAAAATCTCTTTAACCTTCACAAAACCTATTTTAAACTTTTGTCAAATTCGTTATGGCGAATTTAAGAAAAATTATAGGGTTTTATGTATACTACTATTGGCGATTTTCAGATATGGGAACAAACATGTTGTGAAGCAGTGAAGTTCATTGGAGTCCCTCGTCTCATAGAAGGTCGAATCCCACCTTGTAATCATAAGAATCGAAGGTTATGTCCTAAACCGACCAACCCATATAGGAGAGGATGTACTTGGCCAAAGATGTCATCGTAAACCACCCACTATGAAAATTTGATCAAATTTATACTGATTCAATTTTATGAAACCATGTATTATATGATACAATGTATTGAAATGTTACGTGTACTAAATAAAATGATTTATGATGGGATGTAATAAATGATGTAATACAAATTAATAAATTCTTTTTCTTTATGTTTATTGTATCATATATGCAAATATATAAGAAAGTATTTCATACGGGTATTTATAATTTGCGATTAGTTTGTTCTTGAAAGAGCTAACATGTGTTAAAGTAAATTGTGCAAGTGATGTGTATAATGTTTATAAAGGCGGTTGAGCCTCCGTTGCTCGATGATTTCTAAAATTTTAGATATAAATTTTGTATTTTAACCGAATTATTATGAGAAAAACTAAAAGTTTATGTATGTTTTTTGTATTTTTAGTTAAAAGTAAAAAATAAAATAAATATAGTTTAGTATTAGTATAATATTATTATAACTTATAAATAAGTTTACTTATTTAAAATTACTTAGATAAAATTATTACTTTTAAATATATATAATATTTTGATCTGAAACTATTTATATACGGAAGAAATTGCTCGTGGGAAATGGCACACGCTTTGAATGTTTCCCACGAGTCCACGACCGTTGAGGATGTGTTCTTTTTCTCGACGCATTAAATGGCGCACGTGTGTCTTCTCAATGTTATTGGATTGTGAGAGACAGACGCCGTAGGAACAGTAGAGCCCAAGCCCACACGGTCGTTCTTCTCCTGGGGATAGGATTGGCTGGCTTTCGGCCCACGTGGGCCCGTTGACATATTTTTTTTGTCGTGGCTTTACCTAATTGTTTTCCGCCATGAATTTTGGATAACAAAAACATTAACAAGCTGAATTTAAAAGATATTATACTCAGAGAATTTTTTATATATTTTATATTCAGTATTTAAAGGTAATAAAATACAATCTGATTTTCATGTAAACTTTGGTTGAAGGGTATTAATTCCGCTTGATTTATTTTAATTTAAAAAATAAAATGTCGAGGATAATGGATAGTTGATCGGTTGAATCAATGGTAAAAAAAATTCCTATATTAAATTTAAAAAAAAAACTGTTTAGATAAAGACGAAGTCGTTGTCAAACATAGCTTTCGCTGTTTTTTTTTGTGAAAGTCGCTGTTTTTTTTTTTATCATATTCACCATTATACTAATAATGAATTTTAAAATTAAAAATAAATTTATTTAGACCGTTATTGTTTTTCGGTCGTGCTAATGCCATTAACCATGCTTTTATGTCCACACCATGGACATGGCATGGCCAGGCCAACCAATTGTAATCAAATCTTAAATAACAATATATTAGTTAAAATTTTGAATAGTAGATATAAAAACCATGGTTATTCTCGATATTATAATCATAGTTCGACGGGACAGAATGTTTGCTAATTAAAAAAACTGATATCGTGCTTTTTTTTGGCAAGTAACAATGTTTCATAACGACTATATATTCGAATTTTCTTATACCAAACTAATCACTTATTAATTGATTATACATTTTCTTATTAACTAATATGATATTTCATTTAGAATATAGTTTGTCTTTAAAAAAAAAGAGGGTTGAATGGGGGGCCCCACATAGAGGACAAACGAATCCATGGAATCAAAACACGTTTGAAGCTGACAACTCTTTAAATGTCGGCTCCACCTTGTCTTAGCTGTCAATTTATTAATCTTTATTTATATTTCCAACATAATTATTATTGGTTTTCTTTTTGATAGACCTCTAGCTACCAAGGATCCTAATCCACTCTTTCTGACTCACGTTTGACTTTATTTTCTCAAATTAATATTATCGATTGTTTTGTGGATTTTATAGAAAACATGTTTTATTTATTTCATTTAGAAGAAGATCTAATGTTAAAATTTAGAGACGTGTGGGTAAATATGTGTAATGCTTTTGCCCCTCTCTTTTTTTTTTTTGGTGAAAAATTTTATATTAATAAATTTATATATGTATATATAAGATATCAATTAACTGGGTGTCATATACCCGAGATCCATAATAATTTTAAAATTATAAATAAATCATGTACTTCTCTTTTATTTAAAATTTGAACTCTGGACAAAATATACGTTTTATGTCTCCATTTTAACGGTTGATCTATCCGAATTGGGTTATTTAAAGTACCAATTTATATTAGTGTACATAAAATATATATTTTTTGAAACCCAAACACTGTTATACTACATATGATCCATATGAATTCCAATACATATTTTCAAAAGTTGAAAAAATTGTTTTTTAGTTATATAGTAAAAAGAAAATAAAAATAAAGAGTAATATATTGGGTGCTAGCGTTCTGCTGCCGACATATGAAGAAACGATACACTTCACTGTGGACATCATTATAAATACCGACAAGATAATCGTAAAAGAAGATTTCCAATCATCTCAACCAAAATATGATTGAATTTTCATGAATATGCGCCTTAACATATGCTTTTTTGACGTGCTAAATATTATAATCCGAACGGTTACAGGGTTATATTATTTAATTTTTTATTAAGGGGCTAATTTTTATATTGAGGAGGGACATAATCATCACAATAATTTTGTGGAGTGAGAGAGAGAGAGAGGAGGGAAAGGGGGAAACCGCGCCAGCTAGGCTTTTGTCCATTGGCTCGGAAGCAATTATTCCCGGAAATATGACGTCATCCATGACGCCACTCCCCCGACAAACCCTAAATCCACGTGGCATCATCTCTACCGTCTAACCAATACAAACCCACAACACACGAATGATAAGATAATTACACACGGATATATATTATATACTTACACATGGTCCAATATTTTAGTCCTTCTTTCAACATCTCTCTCTCTCTCTTTCTCTCTAAGGTTTTTTACATGCAAAAATTTTCCGACAAAGGAAAAGAACCCTAAAACCGGAAGACACCCGATCGCGCGCGAGTTCTTGAAATATTGGCTCTTTTCTTGTCATTTAAATCGATTGGCTACGGATTCGGGAATCAAATATGATAAACTTCGAAGCGACGGAGCTGAGGCTAGGGTTACCAGGGGCAGATCATGAGGAAAAAGCTGCGAAAAATAATGGAAAAAGAGGATTTTCCGAGACCGTTGATCTGAAGCTGAACCTTTCATCAATGGCTACGGATTCAGGTTCCATGGATGGGTCGGAGAAGATGAAGGAGAAGACGACTGTAAAGCCACCGGCAAAGTAAGATCTAATTCCTTACTCTCTCTCTCTCTCTCTTTGGTTTTCTCTCTCATGCCATTTTTAGGGTTAATTCATAATATGCATAATAATACGAATTCGGATTTTATAATAACAATCCATTTTGTCACCTGATCGAGTACCTCAACTATGTATTATACAACCTTAGTGTCATTTCAACGATTATAGCACGGTAAACTCTATGGGGTTTTTCTTAATTTTCATTGGGTTGTTGCCATATGTGTAGATTGTTTATGGAGGGTAATTAAATTAGTTTATCTTAATTGTAATTAGTAAATGAGATGAAAAAAAAGGTTGGTTTCATAATAATACCCACAATTATTGATATACGTTTAGATCTGTTTATGGCAAACGGAGAGTGGACTGGATTGAATGATGCATATCGCATCGATTGAGAGATGTGTTGGGCCTTCTGTCGGGATGAAAGAGGAAAAGTACAAAACATAAGGAATCTCGCTTTTATTAGAAATAGGGAATATATTCACAACTGCACCCACCCAACATCTTGCACGTGTCCTATTCATGTTTATCCTAACATGTCACAAGTTGTTACAATATATGTATATGTATATATTCGATTATGAAAAAGGTGATAGGTTGCTAATAACCCAATAGATTGCGAACTTAATTTAATTGGATATTTGATGATGATGATGATGATGATGGTTTGTTGATCTATAACATGCAAATAATTGATTAAAAAGCCCTTTTAAAAAAAAAAATTGGAACATGATCTAATCGTATGCGTTCGTAAATTGCAGGTCGCAAGTGGTGGGTTGGCCGCCGGTCCGATGGCCGATGAGGCGGAGAAGCCGACGTCGTCATCGGCGGCGGCGGCCTTCGTGAAGGTGAGCATGGACGGTGCACCCTACCTCCGAAAAGTCGATCTCAAGCTCTACAATAGCTACCACGAATTATCCGATGCCTTGGGCAAAATGTTCAGCTCTTTCACCTCAGGTAGTAAATAAGAATAATTACTAATGTTATTTTGTCTCATATCAAACAGTTATTAATATTTTTATTATTATTTACTGTTATTTGATTAATTTGGTTTTTGGGTTATATATGGATCAGGAAACCATGAACAGCAAGGGATGAATGATTTTATGAACGAGAATAATAAACTGATCGATCTCTTGAATGGATCGGAATATGCTCCAACTTATGAAGATAAGGATGGAGATTGGATGCTTGTCGGCGATGTTCCGTGGGAGTATGTCTTTTTTTTTTTCTTATATAATAATGTTGATGCTCTCTTACAAGAAAAAAAATGTTTTTATTTAATAATTTAATTATAACCATACCGAACAATACCCTAATTTATATTCCTTTTGGATTGTTTTATAGGATGTTTGTTGATTCATGCAAACGTCTAAGGATAATGAAGGGATCTGAAGCAATTGGACTTGGTCAGTACTCTGTAACAATTACAAAATATTTTATCATGCATAATATATAGTTTTTTGGAATATTTTTGTTACCATTTAAATACTTAATTACCTGATGTTGTTGTTTTCTTCTTCTTCTTCTTCTTCTAATTCCTGCAGCTCCAAGGGCATTAGTTAAATGCAAGAACAGATGCTAAGACCTTGTGAGATTCCGATGTTATATACAGAACCGGAAAAAGGACCGGTTTCCAATCGGTTTACCAAAGCCAAGACCCAAACCGAAAAGCCAAACCGGCTCGGAACCGTTCGAGCAGGGATTTTGAGCTGTAATGAATAATGGTGATGATGATGATGTCATGCTTTCGAATTTTTCACTCTTTTTTTTTTGTCATATATATAGATTTATATAATATGTTTGTTTTTATATATAATAATGTGTATATTTGTTAGGATGAAGCAACTAGTTTCACCTAACTGTTTGTTTTTACACGTTATATTATATCTATGTTCGGTCACTATGAACATATTAATGTGTAATAGTTTTTGTTCATGTTGCCTCTCTGTTTATCTCATCGATTGTTCGAGTTTTTTTTTTTTATGTATGGTAAGATTTAATTAATAGGGAATTTATTTACTAAAATAATTTTTGAATTATATTATAGTTAATTTGCAGCTATAAAATGGAATTAAATTAGAGTACGTTGCGACTATCATTATTAGCTCTAACCTTTTTTGTATTAGTTTATTGAATATGATTGACATTTAATTTATGGACATGCCCACAATATTATTAATATATTTTGGATGAAATTAATTAATATTATATGTGGGAAGAGATGATAAGGCCACCATGTGGATTATGTCTAGTAGTTGGGAGACATATATTAATGGAATTTGGTACAATTATTGCTCACAAATTGTACATTCCATTATTATTGTCGTCTGTCTGTTGGAAACTAAATTTTATTTTAATTTTGTTCAAAAATATAAATATCACAGTTTCATTTTTTTTAGATATTTTTTGGGGAAATGTTTATTTTACATATATTTGTGTGTCTGCCCATGGAATTAAGACTAAAGAGTAATCTTCTTTTTTGGGACAAAAATAAAACGAGAAACATATATATATATATATATATATATATATATATATATATGGAGGAGTCCTATTTAAAATGATTGGGTCGCAAACATCCGACCAATACAATATTTCTCATGCGCCTTTTTTTCCTTCTAATTATTATAATTATAATATAATATTAATATAAAGAAAATGTGCTGTCACCCAATTGATGGTCCAATGGTTGAGAGGTAAAAAAATTATATTTAAAATTCTGGATTTGATTCCATTTATGAAAAATAATATAATTTCTACATAAAAAATGGTTTATATAAAAATGCTGATCCTTGGACGTGGGGAACTAGGAGCATCCGTTATATATATAAAAAAAAAAATACGAGCGTGTATTACACGCGTTACAGGTGCGCGTGCGAGTAATTTTGTTTTGAACCTATCTGATGAAATGGGCTGCCTGCACCGTCCACCTGTGGGCTTCTTAACCCATCTGAGGCCCAACATTCACTTTTATCAATTAGCCCAATGTTCATTTATATTCGTATAATTGTGTAACACACACACACAAACGCATTGTATCTTTCATATTTATCAATTCACGTCACACGTAAATCATGTAAAATTATGGCTCGTTATAAATTTTTTGTGGGAAGATAATTTCTCTTTTCCAATTTTATTTTTCATTATATATTTATGCCGAGTTGGAAACAAAATTTTTATTGTAGTTTCCACCATTTCGCTCATGAATATTCATTTTCATTTTCGTTTTAGTTTTTTATCATTTCTTACATTTAATTCGAATTATTTGAGTTTGATTAATTATTTTTTAAAAAAATGCATAATCGATTTTTATATTAGGTTTGATATATATACACGGCGAGATATTAACTCTGCGTGGTGAAATATCCTCCAATTTTACCATACACTTGATTAAATCCTTTACAAAATTATTTAGGATATATCTTTGGAATAAAAAAAAATGAGCTATTTATTAAAAAAAAAAATATCAGACACATAATCCATCAGACGTAGGATTCTCATCTCGAGATTTTGTTTTTTTCCCTTGGGGGCATTATCAAAAATACCCTTAATTTGCTATTTCTACTTCAAGACCTACCCTTGTGACCATGTAACCAATGTGACCGAAATATAGTGTGGTCACATATTGATCTCATTGTTCATAACGTTAAATTTATGATGTTTTAATCAAATGATTAGTAAGATATACAAGGTATGAACATAATGAATTAGTGTGATCACCATAAATTTAACGTTATAATCGATAAAAATCAAAATGTGACCATACTATATTTCGGTCACATTGGTCACATGTGACCAGGGTAGGTCTTGAAGTAGAAATAACAAATTAAGGGTATTTTTGATATAATGCCAATTAAACTAGCATAAATAGTAAAAAATGAACCTCAAAATGTTTAGATACGGTTCTGACCGTCCGATTGAAGCGGGCTAATTAATCGACGGTAGATATTAAAGATAACCTTCCAAACAAGTGGTCCAAGTTCTCTACCTCTCATCAAACGCCACGTATACGCGCACGTTTTGAGCGTGTTTTTTTTTTACGGTGTTATCTCATTGATGGCCTAAAAGAGACGTGAAGTGGTCACATAGATTGTAACGTATCCAATCTTAACCTATTTACAATATCATACTACATTCTAATTTGGAAGCATTACACTATGCTTATCTCGTTTATTTTATAATTTTTATTTTCATAATGTGAGCTCGCTTATAAATCCATTAATTTCACTAAATATTATATGTATTTTCTCTAAATAAGTTAATGATTCAATGCAAAGTATCCCGGGAAAAGGGACAAACACAAAACAAATTCAAACTTTACAATTTATTAAAATTAAATCTCACATTTTAATTATTAGCTAGGCAAATAATTGTTGTTTAATAAACATCAAAGTAGTTTTTATAATTCAACATAAATTAATTATATATTGATCGATTCTACATAATCAATTTTACTATTTATTTAATTTTTAAAATCATATTTCTATATTCACATTTACATGTTTTTTTTTTCAAATTTATTAAAAACCTCTCCATAATTAAAAAATTCGAAGTTATAGGTACTTTAATTTGATTTTTTTATCACCAAATTAAATTACTTTTAACTACATCAGAAATTATACACAAAAAATATTGTTTATATATGGATATAAACAAAATAATATTACAATAATTAAGATGACTCAATAACAAAAGTACATACCTACAAATTATATAAAATTGAAATATGAACAAGATAAATATTCTCTATAAAAATAAATATAAAAGTGAAATATTGGGATAGAAAAAAAATGGCTCTGAAAATATAAAAGAAACAAAAATGAATTTAGGGTGACCATTAATTAAGATTTTCAATTACCTAGAGGAGGGTAGTAGATTTTTGAGATTTGAAAATTAACTAAATGGAAACTAAATAAACTAAACCCAAAAAATCAATGGACAAATTCAAAAAGAACTTTCAACTATCTCATTTACACCAAAAAAAACCTTCTACTTAAAATTCATTATGATGTCTTTTTTTTTGGCTTAACTTTTATATTTTAGAATTTTAATTAAGGTGAATTGTGAGATTTAATTTTAATAAGGGGTAAGATTTGAGATTTTGTTTTTGTATTTGTCCCCAAAGAAAAACACACGGTAGAAATCTAGCGAAGATTCGCCCACGGACACGTGACCCAAGTTCCAAAACAAAAATCCTTTTCACCCACTTGCCGAATAACATCAAACACGGATTTTTGTCTCTGAAAAAAAAAAAATCCAAAACACCCCCCGGAACTTAAATAATGCATTTTCATAACCCTATGTATAATTATATTACGAGGAAGAGCAATGCCCAATAACAATAATAACCATTGATCATCAATGCAAAACATCCATGAAAACTGGCTGAAGAATGCTTAGAAATCAGCGAAAAAGGACACAAACGAGGGTAGTTTTAGTTCTTTCATTGCATGCGTACGTAAAGGGCATTTTGGTCATAGCAACCGCAAGAGAAACCACTATAAAAACCCACTAGTGCATCGCAACCGCAACACACATGCATAAGCTCGACAATTAAGGAAAAGAAGAAAGAAAATGAGGAGAATTGGGGTAGCGATGATCTTCATGGTCATGTGCCTTGCCGCCATGGCGGATACAGAACAGCGCGGAGAGCAAGCCAAAGGCCAGAAATGCCGTAAATGTCAGAGCAACCGTGGGGACTTGGGCACTATAAGTGCCGATACTATATGGGCGGAATACGCGTATTATAATGCGACGCAGATTGATTATGACTTGGCTTCCACGAACGCGTTCTGCGCTCAATGGGATTCGGACAAACCCTATTGGTGGCGGAGCAAGTACGGTTGGACTGCCTTCTGTGGCCCTGTCGGCCCTCAAGGTCAAGAGGCTTGCGGCAAGTGCTTAAAGGTAGGATACCCATCGCAAAATTACGCATCATTTGTGTATATATTGTAAGAATTAGCGTAACCAAGACACGTACCTTCGGTCCGAATTCAAAGGCTCTCCAATTACTTTTCAATTGGTATGTGTTTTGATGCCTTTGTTGTTGCGTTCCGTTTTTGTATTTCATTGCCATGCAATCTTTCTGTTATTTATAGTATAAGATATTTTTTTAGTGACAAAAACAATGTCTTATGATATATTAACGAAGAAATGTTACAAAAACATTTCGTAAATGGTTAATTATCCCTCCAATATAAGGATTTTAAACATTTCATAAATGGTTATCGATCCCTTCAATAAGGTGCACTCTGTTTTCATATATATCCATATATATATATATATATGAGATATACGACTGCATGGGTGTATGTATATATGCAGGTGACAAATACGGATACGAAGGATCAAGTAACGGTGAGAATAGTGGACGAATGTAGAATGGGAGGACTGGTTCTTGACTATGATGTGTTCAAGGCACTCGACACCGATGGACATGGCATGCCCCGAGGTCATCTCATCGTTGACTACGTTTTCGTTGACTGTGGTGACGATGATGATGCCAAAAATGCCCTTTTCTCCGTCATCGATCGTGTCTGAATCTGATGATGGTATCATATATATATACACATAATATATGTTGACCTGGAGAGGTCAAATATGTCTATGTGTCAATAAATGTCATCCCTCGTTCCGTCGGTCGAGTGGGTTTATTATGCTTATGTGTTGTATGTTACGAGTTATGTAATGTAAATTTAAAAAAAAAGGAGCATCTATGTTACATATATATGTATACGGAGACTTAGGTATTAAATAGATATTAGCCATTTTTGTAAATTCTCGCTCCAAAAGAATTTAGTCGTTGTTAGAACAAAACTGAACTAGATGGTTTTTTAGTCTTTAGAATATTGAAATGATATTTTGAGATCATAAAATTAAGTTCATATTTGGTTCATCTGATTATAATTAAAAAATAAAAAACATATTGTTTCAAACTAATTCAATTTATAATTATATAATAGACTCCTGATTTATAAGTTTATAAATATGCCCAGTTTGGTATAAAACCAAATAAATTCCAATTGATTTGATTAAAGCAGATTATTGCAACTCTCACTCTTCCCGAAAAATGAAATTTGGGAATTCTTGATTCTCTCTCTCTTTATTCGTTTTTACATGCTCCTACGTGAAGTAATGCGATACCACTGTTGTAGTAGTTTGTTTTCTGTCGCGCTCGGATTGTAGAGAGAGATTAGTTTGTTCCTCATGGTCCGATCGACCTTGAGTCTTGCCTGGTAGATAGTAAGGTGTCGGTCTCTATGAATACGAGAGTTCATTTCCATCTAAATGGTGTATGTGATAGCTTGCGTAAGCAACTTCTTAATCGTAACCTCGTTGCGGTTTTTAGATTGGTTGATCCAATCCAAGAAGTATCGGAGATGTGTCGGTGGAGGATCCTCCATGAATCTTCCATTTCAAAATAATTGATATTTTAGGTTATTTCACATTTTTTTTAAGAAAAAAGATAAAAAGTCACATATATCGATCTTTATTTTAATGATAAAAACATAGTTATCATTAATAATTTTTTGAAATTTGATAGGGATAAAATTGGAAACTATTGTAAAAAAATATCTTGAAAATATAGAATGACAAATATTTTGAAACATGGAAAATAACCTAAAACTATAAATATTTTGAAACGGAGGGATTAATTTTCTCTTGTTTCCCTCGTATAGATATCAATATCGTGTAAATTCGATATACATATACATATACATATACATATACATGCATATACATATATTATAATATGCATAGGCATGGAAATTTCTAAACAAAGGATAATTAAGAAGCTTAACCTAAGACTATGATAATTTAAGAGACGCGGAAAATTAAAAAACCAAAGACAAGTAAGAAAAGAAAAAAAAAACCCAGACTTTTCAAGAGATTGGTTCAGTTATTTTGCAATAAGATATTCAGTATAAATAAGATGCCCGATTCTTGATTATACAAACCATCACAACATATATATATATATATATATATATATAAGAAAAACATAAATAAATAAAAAATGGGGAGACTTGGTGGTGGCGTATGTGTGTTGGCGGTGGCGGTGGTGTTGGTAATAAGTGCGTTTGCGGCCAAAGCAAACGCCCAAAGCGCGTCTAACGTAAGAGCGACTTACCATTTCTACAATCCTTCCCAAAACGGTTGGGACCTTTACAGAGTGAGTGCGTTTTGCTCGACGTGGGATGGCACCAAACCGCTCGAGTGGCGTCAGCGTTACAGTTGGACCGCGTTCTGCGGTCCGGTTGGTCCACGTGGTCGCGATTCTTGTGGGAAATGCCTAAGGGTACGTTCACGTAACTATATATATATGTATGCATATATATAAAAGCACCATAGATTAGATGTGTATTTTAAGATACTGAAAATATCCGTAAAATGATTTTGATAAATTTTGGTGATATATGGGTTTTATTATTTACGACGCGAACGGAAGAGAGAACTAATAGATATGTGGAAACGCAAACGCAGGTGACAAACACGGCGACGGGAACGCAAGCGACGGTGAGAATAGTGGATCAGTGCAGCAACGGCGGTTTGGATTTGGACGAGGGCGTTTTCCGACAGCTTGATTCCAACGGTCAGGGTTACGCTCGTGGCCACCTCATCGTCAACTACTCCTTCGTCAACTGCTGAAATAATAATAATAATAATAATAATAATAATAATAATAATAATAATAATAATAATAATAATAATAATAATAATAATAATAATAATAATAATAATAATAATAATAATAATAATAATAATAATAATAATAATAATAATAATAATAATAATGACAAAGAAGAAGAAGAAGAAAGAAAGAGAAACAACCGCGCGTACACGGGACTTTGTATAATTATGTTGTCAAAGTTTTTCAAGAAATAAATGACCCTTGGAATTGAATGTTAAAAAAAAGATGAATTTATAGTTGGAGGACCAAATAAAGATAATTATATTTATTATAAATATAAAAGCTACGTAGGTATATACTGCTACTATATACAACTCCATTGACATATTTACTTACTTGCAAAGTTAAATCTAATTTCAATCATCACAAATTCTATTAATCTTAGTTTAAATTAGCATTTTCTCCTACCAAAAACAAAATTCCCAATCCAACGGAGAAAGAATTCCCAAAGAGAATTGAGACATTCGATTTCAACATATTATAACCAAAATTCCACGAAAAAGAAAAACACCCCTTTTGTTCCTAAAAATCAGAAGATGAAAAAACACGACATGGAAAAATTGTGTAGAAAGTGTGGAGCAAAAGCAGAGAGACAAAACATAACTTGTTCCTTTTTTCTGTTCTCCAGCTTTCTCTCTTTGTTTGTTTTTCCCCGGCTAAATTCTCAAGAAACCATCAAGAGTTCGCCTTGTCAGTCCCGTGAAACTTCCGACCAGCATCGACGGCTTCCCTGCAGAGAAAATCAGCCGTCGGAAAAAATAAATATATGATGCAATGAGAAACATCTATTGTGTCAGTGGTCCGGACGAACCTAAAAGCATCGACGAGCTCCTTGCTTTCAGGATTGAGCATCACGCCCTCGTAGAAAGCATTGGCCGCCTCCTCAAACCGCTGGTGGTGATTCATCAAGAAACTCGGTCACAATTTCGTGATTTGGGTTATTTCAAAATCCAGTCTTTTTTTAAGAAGGGAACAAATAAAACAGAAGGCTCGACCTGAAGCAAACGCAGTGCGGCTCCTTCTCTGTAACAGCCTTTGGGCCAGTCTGGTTTCAGTTCTCGACAGGACTTGGCATCGGCCAATGCTTGCTCTGCCTGTCCCAGCCGCAACCAGCAGAGGCTTCGGTTGGAGAACAATGTGTGATCCGTCGGGTCAAAATCAATTGCCTGTGCACAGATCAATACAAAAAAAAAAGGTATTGAGTACAAAGTGATGATCTTTATCTGATGTTTTCTGGGTTACTTCAGGTGGGTTTTGATGTAAAGGGATCTAGGGTTGGATACTTGTGTGTAGGCATCTATGGCTGTCTGTAAATCCTTTCTGAAAAAGGCTTCTTGCCCTCTTTCTTTCGCTTCGGCGGATTTTGCCTTATCTTCTGGAGAGACCTGTGAGAGTTAAAGTAGTCTAAATTCTTGAGGATGACTAAAAGGTGGTAATGTATAGTTCTGAAACCAAACCACACGCTTGGTAATCGAGTTTGAATCACCTCGGGAATATCTTTCTTGGATATTGCCTCAGCCTTGTTTGATTGTTGTTCCTGAAAAAGTTTTGAGTTCAGATGAAATGACTGATGACATACCTGGACGCAATGAAGGTTGAATAATTCAATTCTAGTGCAGAGATCTTATGGCAAGATCTATTACCGGTTCTTTTCTAGATTCTGAATCCATGCTTGCGAGAATCGCCTCAACTGTCCAATCAGAAGCCGACTCGGGTTTTGATGTTAACGGGAAGAGGATCTCGACAATCTTCCGGTTGCTTCTTGCAGCCGCAACATCTATCGGCCTTTGACCCTCCTGCAGATTTTTGAAGAATCACCATCCATTTAAAAAGCTTAATAAGGTAGCCCCAATTTTTTCCCGTTTTCCAACTAGGTTTCTCCAAAATCCATAGATCAATACAAAGAAAGGATATGAAGACTTGCAAACACGATGAAGGTCACGGACATTTCGAGAAACTAGAGAAGTTACATGTGGATCAAATGACAAACCCAGAAAAAAGAAGTGGTATTTGGAAATGAGTGATTTTACAGTGATCTTACCTCATCTTTCACGTTAGGATCAGCCCCTGCTTTAAGTAAACATTTTATCAATTCAAGATCTCCAAGATCAGCCGCAATGTGCAATGGGGTTGCGCCACCAGCAAAAATGTTAGCTTTGGCACCCGCCTGTACGTATATGGACATAATCAAAAGTTTAGTCCCTGTTTTTTTAGTTCAAAGGCATAGATATTTCTCCTTAAGTAGTAAAAAAAGGCTATCAAAACACAGTAAGGGGATACATCAAATGTCCTTAGCGAGGTCTAAAACTTGCCTATATGCAGAGAAAAATCTCGTTAAGCTTACAGACAGCTAAGGAAGAAGTCCAACCTTAACCAACAGCTCCAAGCATGCTATAGAACCGGCTGCCACCGCTGACAATAACGGTGTGATATTATCCTCAGTCTCAGCATTAGGCTGCAGAATGTTGAAATGAGAAACTTTACTAAAGGGCTTGTAGGATATGATTTGGAAATTCTAATCGAGAAATGAGAGCTTACGTCAGCATGGTGCTCTAATAATACTCTAACGGCATCTTTTTGGTCATGGCCAGCAGCCCAAATTAGCGATGTGCCAGAATCACTTTGTGAATCAACCGGAACACCTCTGGAAAGCAGTTCTTTTAGCAACTCGATATTTCCTGTTACAAAGATATCAATCGGATAAGAATCTTCCAAGGGGAACTCCAAGAAAATAAATGAGCAGTCAGTGAAGAAAGTTTCAAAATTGTTACCATATAAAGAAGTGCAATAAGAAAGAAATTTTCAGAGGAAGCTATTTCCAGTTAAAAACAACAAAATTCTCAGCTAGACAGTTTCCTCATACATGCACACACACACACACACACATATATACATATATAGGTGTTGGCATATACATATATCCAGTGGTTATGCAGCACCGTACTATGCAGGGATATGGTTGTAATACCTATCCCTGCATTGCAATCAGTTGCAGGGGAACAAAAGAAAAGGAAATGTTTAATGATCTGATAAGTGAAACAAAAAATATTAGCAGAGGTCAAAACCTGTTCCCGCAGCATGATGCAAAGCGGTGGCTCCTAGTTCACTCGGTATATTAGGGTTGGCTCCATGCTCCAGAAGGTACTTAGCCATCTCAGTATGTCCCTGCCTGGCAGCATGAACAAGAGGAGTATCCCCTGCATAACAGTAACAATCCCGCTTATCTAATTTTCACATAAAAACAAATGGCAAAAGCTGGATCATTCAATGAAAAGACAAAAAACCATGCCTAAACAGCTATATTCAGTCAAAGGAAATCGTAAGCACCATCCAATAACCCACCAAGAGACTGCCACCTAAATTATTTCATATTTGTAAGTTTGAAAATGGAACATAAAGAGTGTTGGGCAAACCAGCTTCATCTTTTGTGTCCACATCAAGCTTCAGTTCCTCTAAGAGGTACTTGCATACTTCTATTCTCCCTTCTCTAGCGGCAAAATGAAGTGCACCTCTTTTGTTCGCGTCCTTTATACTCTCCACCGTTTTCGTTAGGCCCTTTCCGTCATCGAGCTGCTTAGCCACCTCTGTTCCAAACAAGTATCAGACAGATTAGAACCCAGTTTATCGAGCATTGAACATGAACAGAAAAGACACAATCTCGGACTCACTCTTGAGGAAATCGAGATTCCCAGTATAAGCTGCGTTCAGAAATTGCTGAACTTTCTCCCTCTCTTGAACATGACAATTCACAGAAAAAAAAAATCGACAAAGTTAGGACACAAGTCAGAGCCAATGCTCAACGTTATGTTAAAAGAATGCAAAAACCGACGAAAAGGGTATTTGAGGTTCCAATCACAGCACGAGCAGAGGCGTAACAAAACAGTCGTAGGGGAAAAAGTTAAAAAAAAAAACAACAACAAGAAGAAGACGTGAATCTCTTCCTCGTATCAATCCAATTGCAGAAAATTAACAGAACCCAGAAGCAATCTCGAGTTCATATACATTAGCAGATAAACACTAATACACTTAAATGACCCAAAAGAAATGGGAAGATAGCGAACCAGCAAGGGCAGCAGAAGCATCGGGAGCAGCCATGGAGACTTATGAGATTGACGAGCTCAGAAACCCTAGCAGCTGGTTTCTCGGATGGGATGATGAAACCCTGATCTGGATTTCCTTCTTTTTACAGATATTAAACTAAAACAAAAAGGGGAAGAGAAAATTTGCGTTCGTTCTTCGGAGGAAAAAACAATCGCACTGTGGTTGTGTCTGTATCAGACAACTGAAGAAACTTCTGCTTGCTTCTTCCTGCTCTTCGGAGGTTTCTGAGGGTTTAGAGCAGACAAAAACGCTCCACAGGCGTTTTAAGTTCGATTAAATTTGGTTTTACCCCTTATATTTTCTAGTATTTATAAATATGCCCCATCATCACTGTTTTTGTCAAACTTGAGCCCTTTACTTTTCCGATATCACCTGAAGCCCCGAACTTTGATTTTTTGCCCATTACCAGTTCCAGTTTAATTAAGAAGAAGAAAAAAACAATACACGCATAAAAAAAATATTTTCATCGAAACGAAAAAAAAAACAACATTAAAAAGAACAGTGGAATAATATTGTATAAATATTCCAAGTAATGAAAAGGGTTAATATCAATTAGATATGTCTGATCAGTGATACTGATGATTGTTTTGACCACTATTGTTTAGATTTGTAGGAAGCCAATGGTGCTGAGACTCGGGAGGCGAAGGAGTTGGCAAGATTGTCAAGCTCGGGCCTTTTTCTCTTCTCCTCCCCATTTGTTTTTTCACAAGACGTGTATACAAAGCTGAGTGATCGGAAGCTGCTTTTTTTTTTTTATCTAGTGACTTGTAAAGCAAGTTAGGGTTTGAGAAGCTTTAACCTTGTGGTGCAAAACCCGTCTTTCTCGTTTCTGTGTTCTTCCTTTCAGACAGAGAATAAGTAACCTCAGCCTCTCCTATCACTATAACAGGTAAGTCGGGGGCGAGTCGCAACAAAATCCGATAGTTCCATTCTCCTTCTTGTTCATCACCAAAGCCTTTCTTTTACGACTTGAGTTCTTCTAATCTTCTAGCTTATCAACCCAAAGCAGATGAATTCTAAGGAGAATCCTTCTGGGGTTTACACCATTGGTTTCGGTCGAGCTTTTCTCCTCCATAGTTAAATTTGATGAGTAGGAGCTTGCTTTGTTCATTTCTGGTTTAAGGGACTCTCCTAGATTCTTGGCCCTGGATAGACAAATAACAACGTAATAAAGACTTAAGTTTCTTAATTTCTCACATGAAGGAATGGTTATCCGCATTTTACTGGAGGCACCTAAAAATAAATCCGACAGTCTATAACATGAAAATTTCCAGCAATCTATATTATCTGTTCATCGATTTCTTTGTTTGGATTAAAATAATATGAAACTTTGAAACATCTCATTGTGAAGGCCAATTAAAAAAAAAGGTCCTTAGTATTTCCTATTTTCTTTTTTTACTATTCTAACCATATGCCAAATTTAGCCTTCCTAAGTTGTTTGGTCAAAATTTTCAGGATATTTTCTCCTCCATAGGTTTCTAACTACATCAATTTCTCTTTCTGACAGAACACCGGCAAAAGAGAAAAAAAACCAAGAAAAGATGGAGGACAACGTACTTTGCCAATTTGCTGGATTTTGCATCTTTTGTTGATCCAGACACGTTCGGTCCTCAGTTTCCATGGATTCGATCAGACATGGTTAAAGCGGAGGATAGGAAGAAAACAGTCATCCAGTTGTCTGCTGGCAATTCAGACAGACATACAGGGAAACCTTCCAAATCTTGTTTCTTGCGAAAGAAGTAAGCTTTTCTCGTTTTTCTGTATGCCAGAGGTTCGACCCATTTATGCGTCAGCCATGAACGAGAAAACCCAGATTCTGTTTTCCCTTCTATGCTTCTCTTTTCTTCTGGTTTCTCCGATTGAATCAAATGGCGAGAATTTGGCTCTAAGCTGTGGTGCATCAGAACCAGCGGCTGATTCAGACAAGAGAAAATGGGAGCCGGATGCAAAGTTTATCAAATCAGGAAACTCGATTCAGGCAACCGCTTCCTATCAAGATCCTTCACTTCTTTCGACAGTTCCTTACATGACAGCCAGAATATTTACATCTCCGGCAACATACGAAATCCAGGTTAAAGAAGCCAAACGACATTACCTCCGGTTCCATTTCTACCCTTCAACGTACACTGGCCTCGACATCTCCAACTCGTACTTCTCTGTCACGGCGAACGATGTTACACTTCTGAACAATTTCAGTGCTGCTATCACATGTCAGGCATTAACGCAGGCTTACCTGGTTAGAGAATATTCTCTTGCGCCTACCGAGAGAGACGTTTTGAGCATCACATTTACACCTTCGGATAAGTACCAGAAGAGCTTTGCCTTCATAAACGGCATTGAGGTCATTGAGATGCCAGAAATGTTTGACTCTGCGGTTCTTGTTGGGTTTTCTGACCAGATAGCCGACGCTAAAGCCGCTAACCTTCAGACAATGTTCAGACTTAATGTTGGTGGACAAGACATCCCTGGAAGCCAAGACTCTGGTCGGTTAACCAGAACGTGGTACAACGATGCGCCTTACATCTTCAGTGCAGGCCTCGGTGTTACCCTTCAAGCAAGCGACAAGTTTAGAATTGATTACCAGAAAATGCCTGTGTCTACTGCTCCAGCTGATGTGTACAAGACGGCTAGATCTCAAGGCCCGACAGGAGATATCAACATAAAATCAAATCTCACATGGATGTTTCAGGTCGATACCAATTTCACCTACATCCTGAGACTGCATTTCTGTGAATTCCAGCTTTCAAAGGTCAACCAGAAGGTTTTCAACATTTACATCAACAATAAAACTGCACAAGCTGACCCTACTCCTGCAGATATAATTGCGTGGACAGGAGAGAAAGGTATCCCGACTTACAAAGATTACGCCATGTATGTTGATGCCAACAATGGAGGGAATGAGATTTCACTTCAGATGACTCCATCAGCGTTATCTAGACCAGAGTATCTTGATTCCCAGCTTAACGGGTTAGAGATTTTCAAGATGGATTCCATGAAAAATCTTGCAGGTCCGAACCCAGAGCCATCACCAATGCAGGCTAATGAGGCGACTCAGAAGGAATTTCAAAATGACAAAAAAACTGCCTTAATCATCGGTTCAGCTGGAGGAGTTGCGATGGTTCTAGCATTTTCGTTGTGCTTCACGGTGTATCAAAGGAAAAGAAGATTCCCCGGAAACGATTCACACACCTCGATCTGGCTTCCTATATATGGAAACTCTCACACTTCGGGGACCAAATCTACAATTTCAGGGAAGAGCAATAACAGCAGTCACTTATCCAATCTTGCAGCAGGCTTATGCCGTAGATTCTCCCTGTCTGAGATCAAACACGGCACCCATAACTTCGACGAGTCCAACGTTATCGGAGTTGGGGGGTTTGGTAAGGTTTACAAAGGGGTTATAGATGGCAGCACCAAAGTGGCAGTCAAACGATCAAACCCAAATTCAGAACAAGGGATCAACGAGTTTGAGACAGAAATCGAACTTCTCTCAAGATTAAGACACAAACACTTGGTGTCCCTGATTGGATACTGTGAAGATGGAGGTGAAATGTGTCTTATCTACGATTACATGGCCCTTGGAACACTACGGGAGCACCTGTACAACACAAAGAAACCACAGTTAACTTGGAAGCGAAGGCTGGAGATCGCCATTGGAGCAGCCAGAGGGCTACATTACCTTCATACAGGAGCAAAGTACACGATTATACACCGAGACGTGAAAACAACAAACATCTTACTGGACGAGAACTGGGTCGCCAAGGTTTCAGATTTCGGGTTGTCCAAAACCGGACCAGACATGAACGGAGGACATGTCACGACCGTCGTCAAGGGTAGTTTCGGGTACTTGGACCCGGAATACTTCAGGAGGCAACAATTGACTGAGAAATCGGATGTTTATTCGTTTGGAGTTGTTTTGTTTGAAATCCTATGTGCTCGACCAGCTCTAAACCCTAGCTTGTCTAAAGAACAAGTGAGTCTCGGAGACTGGGCACTGAATTGCAAGAGAAAGGGGACTTTGGAAGATATAATCGATCCTAACCTGAAGGGCAAGATCAATCCAGAATGTCTGACAAAATTCGCAGACACGGCGGAGAAGTGTCTTTACGAAAGCGGAATAGAACGGCCGACGATGGGCGACGTCTTATGGAATCTCGAATTCGCGCTTCAGCTGCAAGAGACAGCCGACGGTTCCCGACATCGGACACCAAGCCATGGCGGGGGCTCCGATGACTTCGGAGGCGGAGGAGCGGTGGCGGTCCACGTCGCCGGCGGAGGCATCCGAAGCGAAGAGCACGACGTCAGTGACCAGTCCGACGACAACGGTGGAATCTTCTCTCAGATTGTAAATCCGAAAGGGCGATAAGGTAATTTCACGTCCAGAAAAAACATATAGCCGTTTTTTTTTAAATGTATTTTATTTGATGGATCGCTGCTTAACTGAAAAAAAAAACTGTAATTTTTATTCCTCTGTTATATTATTTATGTAATACAAGAACATTGTACTACATTCATAGTTAGAAGTTGATATGGACATTTCCTTCTTAAAAAAAATATTATTTTTGAGATTTTATAGACATGAAAAATTGAACCAATTTGACACCTAATTCAAATAATAACACTGTATATCTTTAGTATTTTATTTCGTACAAAAACAAATACTATGTTATGAAAGGAAGAAAAAGAAAAACAAAAAAGGTAAGGTTGGGCATGGAACATAATGGGCCCGACCAAACGACTATTGGGCTTTATGGTTTTACGCTCTCATAACCCATAGCAATTTGTTTATATAAAACGTTAAATAATTAAATTTACTTAATACACATGAAAGCTTTAAAATACAACATTTCAAATTTAACCATATTAATTGAGAACATGATATATATATATATATATGCATAGGTGTATACGTGTATTTGCGTAGGAATTTACTGAAAACAAAATAAAATAAAAGAGAATGATTTGCGTAATTAGATTAAAAAAATATCAACTAGGATTTAAAGTGGCTTAGGAATTTGTCATTTGTCACATAGCACGTAAGTCAATCACGATCACAATCACAGGCGTGACACAACTATAATTATTTAAAATATATATTGCGTTACACATCTCATAGCACAATTATTATTATTATTATTATTATTATTATTATTAAATTACTTTATGAAATAATAAACTATAATTATCTTTATGTTGTGCTTTGTGAGTGGGGATACTGCTGAAGATTTTGTTTGAACTTCCAAATTGATGTCCCACGATTGGATAAAAATGCATTACAATGTTAGATATGCAATTCAGCTAAAAATTACAATACACTTGATATTTTATTTTAATAAATGATTAATTATACACATATTGGAATAATTTTTCAAATTAAAAATATTGTCCTATCAATCCTATTTTTGAATCCGGCATGTTTTTTTTTTTAATCAGGTAACTCGCCATTTTTATTCAATTGACATGGTTATAAAATTTGTTAACTGGTCATGTATCACAATATTATTATTTTTTGCGTAAAAATATTTATTTAACCGAATGATTACAACAAAAAACACTATATGAGAGAACAAGTGGACATTTATTTGTTTTGGAATACTATATATTATTAAATTCAATTTTATTTGATTTTCCATAGGAATATCCATCTCTATATATACATAAATGTTAATATAATTGATATGATTTGATAGCAGTAAATTCAGCTACAGCCCACAAGATAATAAAATTAAGACATGGTGGGTTTGATACATATCCAATTTAAAAGACAAAACAAATGCATAATCATAATTTAATTTTGCTTTTTTGCCTAATATGTTGACTATTTTGACAAGAACAACATTATTTTACTGTATGAATAATCCAAATTGCATTATTCCTTGTACTCTCCCTCGTAATGTGTGAAGAGTTAAAGTTTTTAAAGTAATATTATATTTCCGTTTTTCTCTTTTAAATTTTGTACAAAAATATTTTTGTATAATTTTGGCACTTGTTACTTTAATTTTACCAAAAAAGGCGACGAAGAATAATTCAAATAAGTGAGAAACTATATGTATTATTTTTAGATTGCTATCGTAAAAAAATATATATATTAACATGGCAATTATGATTGGGGGTATTTTTTATTTATATAGTAATAATAAGAGTCTTATTCCGTAGGATGATTTTGATTGACAATAATAAAATGGAAATGTTATAAAAAAAAAGAGAATAAAATGGAAAAATAAAAGACGATAAGAAAAATTAAAGTGAATGTATCCTTGGCCATGCCTACTTGACCTAACACACACAACATGATGAGAAAAGACAGAGAAAAAATATTATCATAATTCTTTTAATATATATATTATTGTGGTGGAACAGTATACATTATACGTGTGTACGTATAGAAAAAAATGTATGTACAACTTTTCAGTTTTTCTAAAACAAACTAAAATCTATTTTTTAAAAATAAAACCTAAATTCATTCTTTGAATTAGAAAAAAAAATCTAAACTTTATGAAATTTGTAATTTTTAAATTTAACTGTTAATGTAGTAATTTATAACTTTTGACTGAACCCTATACATCATTATTTATGTCATCATTGACATAGATGATAACGTATATAATTCGATCAAATCATAAATTAGGACGTATAATATCGGTATACCAAACCATCGGTTGGAGTTTTAAAAAAATATTTATAAAATTTAAGTTTTATTTGGTAAAAAATAAAATTTAGATTTTTTTTTCTGAAAAAATTGAAAAATTTAGATATTATTTTGGGATTTTCCATATAGAAAAATCTCACGTGAACAAGTAGATTTGGATAAGAATGCAAGCAGGGTAATGTGCATATGACAGAAAATAAGAAGCTATTATTATTATTATCTAAATTTGATATCAAAATATTATTTATTTAATAATATTTTATATTATAAATAAAAATTCACTTTTTTTTTGTCTTGAATCGATTTATTTAATTCTAAAAAATTGAAGAAATGAGTTGAACCAATATTTTTATAATTCTTTAAAACGAACCGAACCGAACCGAATTGCATCGTTTGACAATCGTGATGGACGAACACAACAGCTGGAGTTGTGGAAGACATTTGCCCCCCTGCAAACTATGTCTCTTCTTTCGGGGCCACACTCCTCACATGCAGATTTATATATTGGATTACAAAAATTATTAGTGTTCTTATTCATAATATAATTACATTTTTAAAAGTGTAAAATTGGCCCGATGTCTAATGCGGAGGCATTTCTTTAAAAATCGATACACTCCAAGGCCTCGTTGGTAAAATAAAATATTTATACTACCAAGTTACTTGCATTTTTATACATTACAAATAAAAATTTATATTCAAATCAGCACTCAAGTCCACAGATTTTATCTTACCAAAAAAAAAGTCCAAAGATTTTGCAATATTGAATAGTTTATTAAGATGAAAAATAATTATTTATTACTTTTAAAATATATTTTGTATTTTCAGTTTCAAGATAAAACAGGAAACAGACAACAGAGCTTGCTCGGTCAACATTCTCGTAACACGTGTCCGAAAAGACAGAGACTTAGACACGTGGATTTATCCGGACCGTTAATTCTCCTAGTTGCGAGCTCTAGATTTCCAGATAGGACTTGTGGACCCACGATTGGAGAGATTTTCCATGTAATTATCAGATTTTCTTTTAAAAGGGATAGAAAATCAATATATATATATATATATAATACACGAAAGTTATATCATGGATTTTAGCCCACACATCTTATTAGGTCTCTGACTAATTTGAACAGATAACTAAATAGTAAAATCATTTCCATAGTAAAAATCCCCAAGTTAAAATGATTTCACCGATGAGATTCATATAATAATAAGAGAATCATTTTATTTTTGTTTTTTTTTTATTTTCTCTCATAATCCTACATATTTCTAAAGATTATTCGTATAACCGCCAATCATCTTATTCTTGCCGCATCATACATTTAATAATAAATAATCAAGCTAACTTTTTCACCAAATGATCATTTAATACCTTCGATAGCCATTTTTCTCTCCATGCAAAACACATTATTCTCACCAAATAAATTATTTGTTTTGAAGTGCAAACACAGAATATGAGTTTCAATAAATAGTAAAAATTAAGGGCTGATCATTTTGGTTTTGGATTTATTTCGGTTACATTCGAGTTTGGTGATTTCAGTTATAAAACAATTATAACCATTTAATTTTAATATTAAATTTACATCGGTTTAATTTGGTTTTATTTTGATTCGGTTAGACTTTTTATTGATAAAAAAATTCTAAAAAAATGCCAATTTTTTCGATTATTTTTTTTATTAAATTCGATTCAATTTTTTATATATTTAGAATAATTATAACCATTCCTTTGATTCAGTTCGATTATGATTACATCTTATTCGATTTAATTCTACTGTTCAACAAATGGTCATCTATATTAGGAAATAAGTAGGTGAATAGTAGGTCCAGCAGTGGGACCCACCGAGATTTACAGAGCTCCTCCTTCTCTTTCCCGGCCCTTGGAACACTACGGGAGCACCTGTACAACACAAAGAAACCACAGTTAACTTGGAAGCGAAGGCTGGAGATCGCCATTGGAGCATCCCTGTGACCGCTTCTGAAGTCTGAACTCAAAGCTCCACTTGCTCTCTCTCTCTCTCTCTCTCTCTCTCGTATTTGTTAATTCTTAGACATAAATCTGTTTTTCTCATACGGCAATTGCTTTACAGATATTATTCATCTTTTGTTTTTTTTTTTAAATGGAAGTGGGGAATTTTGGTAAAAGAACCTCTCCCCCACAGACGGAGAAAAGCTAAAGTCGTGATCTTTGTTTGCTTTTTTTTTTTCTTTCTCTTCTTACTATGAAGATAATTCTATCTACCTCTCACCTCCATCTCCCAAAGGAAAAAAAAAAATTGCAATCCAAATTTTCTGGGTGATTTCTTGCTCCTGAGCTCAGTTTCTCTTCTGGGTACTGGAAAAGATCTCATCTTTGTATCATATTCTGCATTTCACTCCTGTCCCTCGATCTCTATTTCTCCCTGTAATGAATGCTAGATTTACTGCGTTAATGCCCGGAGGTGATTCCTTTGTCAGTTTTTTCAGGGCTCTGGAGAGTTCGTGTTCGTCGCGATTAGTTTCCTCCCCTTAGATTTTTTATTAGGGTTCAAGTTCTAACTTTTTCTCAGGCTGTCTGATTTCTGGGCTGGTGCTATTCCACTGAATCATATGTTTTCCAGAGATTTGGGTATCGGGGTTTCTGTTTTCTAGAGATTAGGATTCCTTTTTTTTTTGTTCTCTCGTCGGAAAACTTGGTTGGAAGAACATGGATGAGATTGAAGCTGCTAACAAAGCAGCAGTCGAGAGCTGCCATGGAGTCCTCACCTTGTTATCACAACAACCAAATGATCCCAAAGCCGTAATGGTTGAAACGAGAGAAGCGTTTTGCAGGTTCAAGAGGGTTGCTTCTCTCTTAACCAGAGGGTTAGGACACGGAAAGATTCGGAAAATCAACAAATTTAGGTCATCTCTTCCCCAACACATCTTCTTGGAAAGCCCCATTTGCAATAGTGACGTCAGCAGTGTCTGTACGCAAGTTCTTGCGCCAAAGCCTCTTCAGGTTATACCTCCTCCCCCTGCCGCTGCCTTTGTCGAAATTGACCCAAAACAGAAACTGGGTCCTCCTCCATTGACGCTCAACCACAAAATCTGTGTTAACAAGTCATTTCTAGAGCTAAAGCCTCCGGCTTTTCGGGTTCTTGATCCGAAACCCTCAAACCCGCCTTATCAGTTAATCCACAACCACCAGCAAGTGGTGTATTCCAGGAGTAATAGTGGCGTAAACCTCAAGTTTGATGCTTCTGGCGGTTGCTATACACCAAGCCTGTCTTCAAACCGGTCGCTGGGATCGTTTGTATCGTCTCTCAGTATGGACGGTAGCGTGACTGAGTATGATGGAAACTCGTTCCACCTGATCGGATTGCCTCAGTCATCTGACCAGATATCTCAGCATTCCCGGAGGACATGCTCCGGAAGAGGTGAAGAGGGCAGCTTGAAATGCGGGAGTCGGAGCAAATGCCATTGTTCCAAGAAAAGGTTGTTCGATTTTCTTGAGATCTTGGCGATGATTTGATTCTGTATCGGTTCCGTTTCTTAAAATCCTGGGAGATGTTTGGTGTTGTTCTTGCAGGAAACTAAGGGTAAAGCGATCAATCAAGGTGCCTGCCATCAGCAACAAGATTGCGGATATACCCCCAGACGAGTATTCATGGAGGAAATACGGGCAGAAGCCGATAAAAGGCTCTCCACACCCGAGGTATATACGTTTGTCCAGCAGGAACATCGATACAACTTAAACCCTAAATCCAGCAAATGTTGATAGCCTAATTTCCAGGATTCATCAAAAACCTGGTGGGTTCCCTCCCCCCTGAAAAGTGTGGTTTCTCTGTCTGTCGCAGGGGATACTACAAATGCAGCAGCGTCCGAGGTTGTCCAGCGAGGAAGCACGTCGAGCGATGCGTGGATGAACCTTCGATGCTAATCGTGACTTACGAAGGCGAGCATAACCATTCAAGATTGATGTCCTCACAATCTGCTCACACCTGACGAATGTATATTCGTCTGACTCAGAGGGATCCTGGACCGGAAGAGAAGGAACCGGGCATGTAGCCGTGATCTGAAAACTGTATATTCGATTTAACACGAGTCAGATTATCTAGCATCTTAGGTCATCGGATTAGGCCATAACCAGACAAGAATCTTGACATGTTCTCTTACAGTTGGAAAGTGGTTTTTTTGCTACATCTGTCTCAGCTTCCTTGCTTGTATTGATCTGCACTGACGTCCATTTACTAGGGTTTGCTTGTTGTGCAAGTAACTGTAGCGAACTCTCGAGAAGCCCGTAAGAAGGGAACAGGCCCATTATGAAAAAGGGCGAAAAATGTAAATAACGTGGAGATATAGGGGTAATATCGTAGTTAGGTGTTCCGTCATTCGCTCTATACCCGGTCAACGAACTGGAAGGCGACGAACACGCATCGGCGTCTCATTGGTTCACGGACCATCGCGTCCACACTCGGCTATTTAAACGCCACTCCTCCTCCCTAACGGTTCTCTAATTTTCCCAGAAACCAATCAGCGAACTTTCCCGCTTCCGAGAAAATCTGAGAAACTCATTTTGCAACGGTAGGGAAAGTAGAAGCGGAACGATAAGATCGGCACCGCAGTGACGAAGAAGAAGAAGTAAGAACTGAGAGAGCGATTGAGAATGGCGATGGAGATTGCGACACCGCATCCGGCACCGGCTGCACCAGCGGCGGATAGCAACGTCGTAGCGGCGGAGAATCAGAAGAAGAACAGGATCCAAGTGTCCAACACCAAGAAACCTTTGTTCTTCTACGTTAATCTCGCCAAGGTAAATCGCGTTATTTCCGTTCGAATCGGTGTTTAGTCGTTTCGAAGTTCTTTTCAAATTTCTGACTGATCCGCTCACAGAAAAGCGAGATCTGCTGAATGAAACTTCACATCGAAGTGTTTTTCATATCAGATAGTGAAACAGAGAGATTGGCTTGTTTTCTCGCCCATAGAACTGATGAAACGACAGATATCAAATCGTAATTTAGTATTTGATTCTTCGATCGAGGGCTGCGTTGCGTTATCCCGAGGAAATGGAATACGATCGAGTCAGGATCAATGTTTAGGACGGTTCTGTCGTTTGATGAGCCGTTCGCTTGCGAAAATCCTCAAAAGTTTCGAAAGCATTTCGTTTGATTCTTGAATGTTTACATAAAATGCAGAGGTACATTCAGCAGCACAACGAGGTTGAACTCTCTGCACTTGGAATGGGTATATCTTACTGAAACCCAGTCTCTCCCGTACACATATACATACAAATGAGCGTGCGTGTATACGTGTGTTGCAATTTCATGAACATTATTGTTTTTTTTCCACAGCTATCACGACGGTGGTTACAATCTCAGAGATCTTGAAGAACAACGGACTCGCCACCGAGAAAAGTGAGAAAAACTTCATACCCTTTCTCACAATATACATCCTCAAGAAAACATCATTCTTCACTGAAAACTTGACTGTTCTTGTTTTCTTTTTTTTTTTTCTGGGTTTGTGGGAAGTAGAAGTTCTTACATCCACAGTGGGAATGAAAGATGAGAACAAAGGGCGAATAGTTCAGAAGGCCAAGGTATAAGTTTCTGTGGCATTGTGAATTTGCTAATCGCTGTTCAAATGCTTACTGATTATTTGTTGTTAGATTGAGATTGTGCTGGGGAAATCCGACAAGTTTGATTCACTGATGACACCCCCCGGCGGATGCGGCGGAGGCAGATACACCGGAAGCCGCCGCGAAAGAGGGCGATGAATGATTACAGAAAAATTCCAACACTGGAAGAATTCCCACAGCGAGGTCGATTACATATGAAAGAAGAGAGAGACCCCCTCACACAACAACAAAAAGGAAAAAAAAAAGGACAATTATTTTTTGGAATTTCTTTGTTTTTTTTTTTTTTGTGATAAATCCGATACAGAAGATGCGGGGCTAGTTCATTCGGCCCGTCATTGTATTGTTGTTGTTTTTTTTCCTGCTATTTTCATGCAGATATCTTTTTTTTTTTAAAAAAAAAAAAAAAAAAAAAAAGAGGGAGACAAAACATGAACTAGAAAACATAATGAAATTGTTCTAAAGACACTTTTTTGTTGGACTCGGACACGAATACACTGGTTAGCCTCAATGGGCTACAGTTATTGGCCCATTAGTACGTAATAGTTTAGGGGTCAAAATAGAATATATAGAATTTATCAGGGACTAAATATAAAATAAAGAAAGCTTTCCGCTGTTCTTCGATCTTAAGATAATTTCACTCGCCCCATCGAAGAGCTGGATCTCTCTCTCTCTCTCTCCAGAGAAACCCTCGAAGCGATTTGTTTTTTGGTTCCTCTCCACCCTTGAATCTCAAGCCCATGTAAGTTTATTGTGCTCTTGCTAAGCTTTGCGGCTCTCTCTTCCTTCGTTCTGGTAATTCTAGGGTTGCGGTTGAATTTTTGCTGTGTCCTCACGTTAATTCTCATGCTGATGATAAACCCTAAAGCGGACTCTCCGAAACACCTGCCATTTTGCATTTCTGTGTTAGCATCTTGTGAATCTTTGGGTATGTGTGCTTGTCGAACTATTTAGGGATTTTTAGTAGGCTTGTTCTTATGGGCCACGATATTGACCTTTTTTATTTACCTATGCCCGAGGCTTTGTTTGCCTGTCGGAGGGCAACGCAAAGTTACGTTCTTTGGGTTCTTATGTTGTGCAGATTCGTGTTTTCTGTTGCTTGAGACTAGTTTCATCGAGGCCTGAATGGAGTCGCATGCTTAGGTATTCCTGTGTTTTGTATTGTGTGGTACGTTTCGTTGGAAGAATTTTGAGGATAACCTATAGAACCGATTTGCATCTTTTCTGGGAGACAAAGTTGTCATTTTATTTTTTGCTGCGGTCTCCTTGTCGTATCAGCCTTCTATGTGCTTTCTTGTTCGCTAGTAGTGATGCATTCCTCTCCTTTGATTTTTACTCCCTCGTTTTTTACCGTTAATCTATGTGTATTTGTTACTTTTTCGACACGTTACTGTGCTGATGTCTCTATCTGGTCGGAAAATTTTAGTTCAGCTGTGTACACATGGCTGAAGCCGAACCTCAGCAGGGCTTCGTTGAGCACAATGGGGATCAGGTGCCCGATGAAGGATTGGATCAGGTGCATAATGGGATACAGTACCAGATGCATGATCAGACCTTTGGCCACCAACCATACGAGGTTCAAGATCAGACTCTTGAACCACAGCAGTATGAGGATCAAGATCAGTTAGATTACCAACAATACCAGGTGAAGGATCAGGCTCCTGAAGAAGTACAAGATCAGTCACAGGATCAGTTGCAGTATCAGCCACAAGATCAAGAGCAGTATCCGTTGCAAGATCAAACTGAAGATCAGGCGGAGTATCAGGTGGAAGGTGAAGCACAAGATCAGGCTGGCGACCAAGTGCAAGATGAAGTGGCGGATCAGGAAGGCATTCCT